CTATCACCCAGATGCCATCCAGAAGAGACCCTGGGCCTTTCTGTCCCAGCCTCACTTGAGAGCGGTCAGACCTGCCTGCCAAAAGAAGTCTAGGGCAACCCTGTGAGCTGGGTTTGTTGTCAAAAAGAAGCAGCTTCCTCCTCTCTCTGCAGCCTAGGCCAGAGAGTTGGCTCCATCCTTTGTTCCCTTAGTTCTTGGGCAAAGTGAGATCACTGGTAGTGGCTTGGTTAATGTTCTTGCCAGGTCCTGGAGAGGTGAGTCTTCTGAGCTGGACTGGAAAGCCTTTTCTGTTTTGGGGCCTCTCCCTCTGAAGAGAGTTGGACTCTATTGCTGAGGAGTGGCTTTGGCCCAGCAGAAATGGGGGATGAGGAGGGCAAAGTTGGTAAGTAAGTGCTCATGGAATAGGTCTCTCCCTTCTCCTCCTCTTAGCTTCCCTGCTGTTACCACATCAGGAGTTAGTACCCTATGTGCAAGGGGACAAGGATTCCTTGGGGGCTATGGACTCAGGAGAAAGGCAGACAACTTGATGGTCAGATCAGAGTGGAGGTGGTGCCCTTCCTCCCATGCCTCTTCTTGTCCTCCTCTCAGGGCAGGGCCCAATCCCTCACCCACACAGCTCCAGAAATTTGTGGAAAGGAAAGTGTTGCTGTCACCCTGGGTACCAATTGAAGCTGTCCTCTGATCCAGAGCAGGGGGAGACCTGAGCGTCTGGAGACAAAGCCAACTGACATCTGAACATTTCTTTCCATGCCCCATGCTCCGTGTCAGCCCAGAAGCAGGTGGAAGTCTCTGGGATACTGACCAGGTGATACTTGGGGCCTGTTCCATATGTCAGCCACCTGAGGTCTGAGTGTGTCTCCTGGTCCAGCTTCAGGTATACTGAGGCAAGAGTTCTGTCCTTCAGGGCTGGCCCAGTGGCGCACTGCTACAGTGCGCCGCTTGGGAAGCGCGGCAGCGCTCCCGCCGAGGGTTCGGATCCCACATACAGACCGGCCGCTCACTGGCCGAGCGAGGTACGGGGGCAACACCGAGGGTTGCGATCCCGTTGCCGGTCCCGGTCCGGTATGGGCGCGACACTGAGGGTTGCGATCCTTTGCCGGTCACGAAAAAAGACAAAAAAAAAGGAAAAAAAAAAAAAAATTTAGGGGCCGGCCCGTGGCTCACTCGGGAGAGTGCGGTGCTGATAACACCAAGGCCCCGGGTTCGGATCCCACATAGGGATGGCCGGTTCGCTCACTGGCTGAGCGTGGTGCTGACAACACCAAGTCAAGGGTTAAGATCCCCTTACCGGTCATCTTTTAAAAAAAAAAAAAAAAAGAGTTCTGTCCTTCACCCAGAGCAAAAAGTTAGAACTGTGGAAACTGAAGGGCATGACTGTTCATCATTTTTCTTTTTCTTGTGCCCAGAATTCTTCCCAGTCAGTCAGTCATAGGCTGACGGACATACTTACATGGCTCCACGGGTCGGAGCCTGTTGGGGAAGCAGCTGGGTTGGGCTGTGGGTGTTGAATGCTTTCTTGGGAGGTGTTGAATTGGACTTGGGGTCAGAAGCATGGCTGTGGGTGAGGGTAGGAAACCTTACTTTTCTGAGGACTGTTGGAGACCTCCGTAGGGCTGCCAGGGGCTGCTGTGCTGGAGGTCAGCCTAAGCTTGCCTTTCTGTCAGTGGGCTAGATGAGGACCACCTCCCTGTGTTTGGCCTGCCTGACTATCGTCTGCAAATTCATTAGTGCACGAGGGTCAGACTGGGTGCCATTGGCATAGCCTGGTTCTCAGGTCAGGAGACTTGAGTCACAGCTTGGGGGACCCTCCTGGTCCAGCTGCTCACAGCTCCTCAAAGATGGGGAGAGCTGGGGCCTGCCAGAAAGGGCTGGGCTGGCCCTCAGACAAATGAGTCCATTGGCATTCTGCACACAGCCGCATGTCCACGGTAATTGGAGTGGCGAGAGTCTAGGTGAGCAGGAGGGGCGGATCGATCTTGCTCACTTTGGCACTAACAGGCTGGCCGCTCTGTGAGCAGCAGGGGTTGATGCTTGGTGTGAGCCTGTGCCACTCCGGAGATGGAGATGCTTAAGCCCATGGGGTGGTCTGGTGGGAGACCCCTCCCTCCAAGACTGCATTGGACTGGTTTGGAGCAGCAGGGGGCCATGGTCTGGCTGGGTGTGGATGTGAAGTGGGGAAGCCTTCCATCCCTCCATGTTCATGTTCCTGCCTCTGCGTCCAGCTTTACCACTCTGTCCTCTGCAGAGGATCTGCCCCTCTTCTGTCTTGGCTGGACCAAGTGGCATGGGCAGAATTGTTGTCCCAGTCTGTTTGGGCTAGCCTGAGCTGCAAGCCCTGTCTTGGGGCTGTCCCACCAGTAGGCCAGGCTGAGCTGCAGTGTGTTCCCCAGTGAGTTTTCCTTTTTTTTGGAGACTGTAGAAAGTTGGAGGGCAGCACAGGTGTTCCCCTGACCTAGTCTGTTCAGCTCTAGGTTTGCCATGTCCATCAGGGGCCCTGTTAGGCTTGCTTCTTTCCACCTCTCAAGTGAGTGACAGGGCTGCAGTGAGTGTCCGTGGACTGGAGTAGCTGGCCCCTAACAGTGGCTCCTTGTGGGAAAATAGCCTAAATGATTCATTTTCAAGAATCACTTAACAAGGGTTGCTTGACTAACTTGTGGTGTGATAACCCCTGCAAGTACACTTTCCCGAGGGTGACTTCTCAAGATGGGAGCTGGTACCTTGTTCTTTTTACTTCCTGGTTTTTCTTCCTCCTCAGGACTTCTGGTGGGCCTTTTTTACGGGCTTGTCCTGAGTCCATCCCTTTCTTCCAGAGGGAAAGGGACAATAAATGCCTTATAAGGAAGTAATAAAATTTAGACAATGTTTGGGAAGATTGTGCACCCCATAGTACTCAGCCAATGAGGAACTGTGGGAGGGACTTGCGCAGTAGGGAACAAATTGCTTGATGTAACTGTTTCGGGCATGCCTGTCCCATTCACAGACACCTGGACCTTGCAAGATCATTATTAAAATCTCACTTTGCTGTACCCCGTGTCTCTGTGTCCATCCTTTAGCATTGGACGGGTGAGGGCATTTCTCACACTTCTTGTGTTCAGATGGCTGCAGCAAGTTATGGGGCTTTCTTGAGCTGTGAGCCAAAGGCTATTGTGGCACCTGTCTAGTAGGAGGTGCCCACCTGCCTATGTAGGAGGGCTCTTGCTCCCTGCACTCCCTCACTGCTCTGGACAGCAAGCTCTCTGTGGGCCTCCCTTGCCCACATGTTCCTGAGGCCCTGACTTTCCTCCTCCTGAAAGCCAGCATCTCCCTAGTAATCACTGGGAGCTGGTCCACTGGTGAGGACAGCCCTGTTAGGTGGCTACTTGGAAATGTAATTTCCCTGTCACTTCCAGTTCAGCTCAGTAAAAGTTGAGATTTGCCTTCCAAAGGGCAGGTGAGGACAGCAACCACAAGTAGCCCCAACCCTTCCTCAGACTCCAGATGAGTGTTCTCCCTGCCTCACCCCTGTGCAGCAGTGGGGAAGGGGCTGGGTAAGAGTTGAAGGTCAAGGGAGCCAGACTGGGATAGTGATAGTGGGTACAGGTGTCTGCTAAATGGCCATGTAGCTACCCCGAATGTGAGGTCCCATAGATTTTCCTGAGCCCCATGGAGAGCATGTTCAGGGGTTCCCCAAGGTGAAGGGTACCATGGGGTAGAACAGTCAGACTTCACTCAGCAGGAAGGCAAGTGATCATGCCCCTGGCATCCCAGCCAAGCTATCTGCAGCAGGCTCAAGGAAGGTCCTAACTGCCCACCCTTTGGGCAGCATCAAAGCTCATGCCAGAAGTGCTCCCAGGAGATGCAGGGACCAAGAGCCTGCTGCCCTCCAGCAGAGGGGCTCAAGGGTCCAGGGCTACCAGGCTCCACCTGGCTGAGCCCCACAGTTAAAAGCAGCTCCAGGAAAGGGCACCCATCAGGCAGCATCTATGGGTTGTTTACTGGCATCGTACCTACTGAGCACCTCCTCTAAGTGCTGTGTCAGGTACTGGGGTTCATCCAGCTCAGCACAGTCTAATGGGAATAATGAACTTGAAGTCACAGTCTTAAAGCTACAGCAGGAATAATTGCTGTAAGCATGGGGGTTAGAAGGAATCTGAGCAAATGTCTTTTACTCTGAGAACCTAAGAATTCAGCCAGGTGAAGATGGAGCCATGCAGGTTGAGGCTCTGAGAAGACAGCTGCTTGGTATGTGGCTGAGATGAGGTCACATCTTTGTGGAGTTCCTTCCTGGGAACAGAAAGTACTAAAATGAAGGTGGCATATAGCACTGCCTGGAGCCTTTCATGGCTTGGAGAAATCATGCAGACTGGAGAGTGCCCCTGAGAAGAGTCCTGTCCTGGTCCTTGCCTGGCCCTAGTAGCCCCTGACCTCAGCAGACTGAGAAATCTAGTGGTCTTGAATTGTTTTCTTTTTTTCCTTATGTCTGCAAGGCTGAGGGTGAGACTGAGACAGGGAATGCAGTGGTCTCCCACCACAGCTTTGACAGTTGGAGGGAGATTGGACCCTCTCTTTAAGGACTAGGAACTTTCCCTCTTAGTGGCCCAGTCTGGGTACCCAGGGATTGGAGCTTAGGTCTGACTCAGGATGTGGTGGGAAAGTTTGAGACATTTTCTTTAAGTCTTCCTGAGTTATGGTGGTCCTGGGATAGGTTGGGGGAGTTTTGGCAGGGGTCACCTCCCTGAGCCAGGCTTTGGATGCAGGGTACCTTAGAAGTTTGTTCCCTGTAGGTTCTTTTCCTCCTTGTTAGACTCCTCATCACCCAGAGAGCAGCTCCAGCTCAGCAGCCTGGGCCAGTGTTGGATGGGTTGGGGAGACCTAGAATGCTCCATGGGAGGAGGGGGCACTGCCTTTCTCTAGGTGAAGTGCAGGGATGCTGGGCAGGTCCAAGTACTGTGATGATGGCATCATCCAGATGGGGGGCAGTGTTGAGTGCTGTTGATCTAATGCTTGTCCTTGGCCTCTAGCCCTGGCCCAGTGTGTCCAACCTGGCCAAGGACTTCATTGACCGCCTGCTGACAGTGGACCCTGGAGCCCGTATGACTGCACTGCAGGCCCTGAGGCACCCGTGGGTGGTGAGCATGGCAGCCTCTTCATCCATGAAGAATCTTCACCGCTCCATCTCCCAGAACCTGCTCAAACGCGCCTCCTCGCGCTGCCAGAGCACCAAATCTGCCCAGTCCACACGTTCCAGCCGCTCCACACGCTCCAACAAGTCGCGCCGTGTGCGGGAGCGCGAGCTGCGGGAGCTCAACCTGCGCTACCAACAGCATTACAATGGCTGAGCCACTGGCTGTGGTACAGACATGGCACGGTCGCAGCCTGGCCACGCATTGCTATGCCATCTGGGCCCAGCACCCTCTTTGGAGATAGGCCAATACAGCTGGCGGTAGGTGGAGAATGTCTTGCCCCAGTCCCTTCTCTGTGCCTTCAGCAGCCCCCATCCTCACCATGGGCCGGCGCCTGGTGTGACAGAGTGGTGGCCATGCGCCCCCCTCTCCCCCGCCGAACTGGGAGCCTCACCTGGCACCGATATCCCTTTTGGTGGGCAACTGCTCTGATATGAGTTGGGGAAAGGGATAGGACCTGGCCTTCACTGTCTCCCTCACTCTTTGGCTCTTCTCCAGACCAAAGGGGCCTTTAGTGCTGGGTGGAGGGTGTCCTATGGCCCCAGGACCCTTTGGGACAATTACTCCTGGAATTCCTTTTCCTCCACAGAGCCTTCCTCCCTGGCTTCCACATTCTGTGGCATCCTGATCCTCAAGACTATGCTCCAGTGGGGTGCCCAGGTAGGCACAAAGCTTGTGCCTTGATGGAGCCTCAGCCCCTGGCTAGATCCAAACAGTCCCCTACCTCCCAACTAAGATCTGTTTTCCTTCATGGCACCCCAAGGGACCTCTCCTGGCCCCAGGACTCTCCAGGACCTCTGGTGGTAGGGCCATGGCATGGACCCTAGCCCTTCTGGACTCTGTGGTCATGCTGGTGGTAGGATTGCCCCAGGCTCCCACCACACTCTATGAGGGGGTGCCTGCCCACCAGCCCACAACCCTCAGTGCCTTCTTTGCAGACCTCACCATTACCTCCCTTGCCTCCTTGGATGCCCATTCCATTCCCCAGGTGCCTCCTTCCCAACTGTGGGGCGTCAAAGGGAGCCCCACTGCTGCTACCTGGGGGCTGGGGGTACCTGGGCCAAGGCAGAGGGCAGGGGGTTCCCCACCAGATTCCATTGTCAGCCCTGGTTGATGCTTCAGTACTGCCCACTGCCCCTCCTCTTCAGGCTCCACTGTTCCCTCCTCTGCAGCTGCATCAGGGCGCCATCTGGTGTCTGGCACGGGTATGAGCAGCCTGGAGTGATCGCTGCACACCCATCCTGTACTCCCATAGTCCTCCAAGAGGTGGTGGGAAGGAAGGAGTTGCTGGGGGGCAGAGGGGGTGGTCCTGGGCTGCTCATCTCTTCCCATCTGCTGAGCTTCTGCGCACATCTCCCTGGAACTTTTTGTTGTTGTTGTTGTTGTCTGGACGGTTGAGGGTCTGAACCCTTGACCTTGGTGTTATCAGCACTATGCTTTCTCCCTGGAACTTAGCCATACTGTGTGACCTGCCTCTGAACCTGGGTGCCTGGGACACTGGCCTTCTCACAGCTGGCCTTGCCCTGGCCACCCTGTGCCTGCTTCCTTTCACAGCATTAACCTTCCAGTCTGGGCCCCACTGAGTCAGGCTGGAGAGAGCCCCTGTGGGAGGTGGGTGGGGTTGGGTGGCTGCTTTTCCAGAGGCCTGAGCCAAAACTGTCCCCACGTCTGTCCTTGTGTCTTCCCCCTACCACAAACCAGGCTGGAACCCAAGTCTCCTCCCTCCACAGCTGCTTTCAGTGGGTGGGAAGGGGCGAGGGGCCAGCTTTGGCCTTAGCTAGGCTGCAGGGCCTCTGCCAGCATGGAGAGTTTAGCCCGCACTCAGCTCCTCCCAGTGGGCAGTCTTGGGTCAGGCCCTCCTCTTTCTGCATGTGCCACCTCCAGTGGAAAACCAAACCAAAGAGACCACTCTGTGCCAAGTTGACTGTGCCTTAAACATACTTTCCTTCCATCCCCACTACTCCCTGGGCAGGAGGCAGCGGAGAGCCTGAGTCCCATAGCCTCAGAATTTCTCCCTAATTCCCTAAGTGTCTCTGGGGCCTGAAGCCCCGACAATTTATTTCCTCTTTTGCCCAGGGCGGGCCTGGTCCTGGGAGTAAGACAGAGGGTGTTTGGAGACTTGGGCCTTTGATAGGCCCACCTGGGCCTTCATGCTATGGACCCTGGATGGAGAATGTGCAGTTATTTATTTTGTGTACTCAGTTTGTAAATGTATCATCTGTATTCAATAAACAGGCTGCCCTCCCCAGGGAAGGTTGCCCATTCATTCTGATAGTCCTGGATTCTTGCTGTAAACCAAAGGGTTGCCTCAGAGTAGGAAGGGTGGGGTGCCCCAGCCTGGGCATGACTATTCTAGGAATATCCTGACTCCTCAGCCCCTTCTGTGCCAGAAGACAAAGTCCACTTGAGGAGTAGGATCCTTAAGAGCCCCTCCTTTCCTCTGAGCCAGGAGGGCAGACAAGAAACACGAGAGGACAGAGCCTGGGGTCTTTACTGGGTTAAGATGGGGAGAGGAGCCTGTGTGGGCTCAGTTATAGTCTATGACCTGGTTGATCCAGGTGCTGAACTTGCTGACCCTAGTGTACATGGCAGGTGTGTGCACATTGTATTTTTTGGTGCCCGAGGAGGCAACATCAGTAAACACCCATGTGTTCCCCTTCTGGCAGACAAGAGGGCCTCCAGAGTCACCCTGAGAAGGGAGAAGAGGGGAGAAGTCACTATAGGGGGCTGGGGAAGTGTGCCATAGAACAGTGCAGAGGACAGGGTACCACTGCTCACCTGGCATTAAGAGGCACCTGAGCCACCTGCACAGATCATGGAGTCAGTGATGCGTGAACTCCAGTACTGCTGACAACTGTCTTACAGTGACCAGGGGCAGAGCCACCTGCTGCAGACTTGCTGGCGTCACATTGTCTGTGGGCCGGGAGGAAGTGGTCAGGCTGGCTGAAGATGCTGACCCCCACTCCAGCCCTCCCACCCAGATCTTTGGGCCAAGTTCCTACCCATGCCACTGAGGCGGCCCCAGCCAGTGGCGGCACACGTGAGGGCTGCAGACAGCACCTTGTTTGAGGAAGCTAGGCACACTGGTGAGATGCATGTTGTGTAGTGGGCTGGTGAGGTGAGCTTTAGTAGCATCAGGTCATTGTTCATAGTGGTGAAATTCCAGTTAGGGTGCGTAATGACCTGTGGTGCCAGGAAAGGGCCATGTGGGTGGGCACAGGCACTTGGGTTGAGGGGTGCTGAGGGGGGTAGGCCAGGGCATGCCCTGAATTCCTTATTCCCAGAGCATACCCTGAATTTCTTATTCCCAGAGCATACCCACTGGCACTGCCCACTCTTCCTTCCCATGTCCACAGCCCACACACTCACCTGCAAGATGGACAAAACCTGCACGGGCTTGGCACTGGAGGACTGGTCATACTCGCCCAGGACAACAAAGTGGTGGCCAGGGCTGCAGTGAGAGTGGGGTTGGGCAGAGCAAGAGAGGGACATCCAGGGGAAGGAGGTAGGAAGACGTGGGCTGAGGCAGGGCAGATGGAGTGCAAGTGCTCACCTGACATCAAAGCGGGCAGCTGTGACCACCCAGGACTGGCTGAGAGAACCACCGCTGAAGTAGAAGCCACTGCTGTCCTGAGGTCAGGGGTTGGGGGGATGCTCAGGCTCTGCCTAGGCATGAAGCACCTGGGACCCTGACTCACCCCTAGGGTGCGTGTTACCTGCAGGGACACCTGCCAAGGCCAGGAGACTGGCACTGTGTTCTCCCCATTGATGATCCTCTGGCTGAAGCTCAGTGCTGGTTTGATGACAGGAATGCTGCAGCCTGGCCATTGGTGGGTGAGGACCTGCTTCCTACAACCCCGCCCACCTTCCCCCACCTCCGT